AACATATGAGAGCAAATAAAGATATATATATATATTTGGCATTTTGTAGATTTATGATATAACCCACCAAAGTCTGTTCCATACATTAGTTACATTCCAATTCTTCCATGGCCTCCCATTGTTCCCAAATCATCTTTTCTATTAGCAATTTATTAGTAAGTTTAGAATCATTCCCCCTACTTGCCAAAAGTACTACATGTTACTCTAAATTATTTTTTAATTGCAAATTAATTTCGTGACTGTAAAAGACATTCATTTTTCCAGGACATATTTTTCTACTTTGTTGATAAAAAGGGAAAAGGGTGCTTTTCTTTCATATTTTTTTCCAGTTTGCCAGTAAACTCTTGAAAGCTCCTTAAAATTTTGTCACTTTCATATATAAATCTTTTTCATTTCTTCTTCTTGAGAATTTTTGGCTGGAACAAACAGAGACAACTGTCAACCCATGAACATTGCATCTAACATTGTCCTTCTAATTACATACCAGTGCTACCCTAAAATCTACCCAAAAATCTAACGTTAAAAAAAAAATAAAAGACCAAAATAATTTGTATGCTCTCAGGCTTGACTGGGGCTAAGGCTTTGATCATAGATCTTTTTTAATCTAATGAAATCCATGAAGGGTTGTTCAGGGGCTGGACAGTCCCTTCTGCCAGTGCAGAACCCCGAAGGCAGAATGCAGAGCGGTTCTCTAGCTCTCTGGCCATTGACACCTTGGGAAAGGCTAGAGGTGAATTAAAAGTCTTAAGGGAATACTCATTACTTATTGGTTGAATTCGAGTGTCCCCTCCCCCTCTGTCCCAATCCATGTGTTAAAACATTACTCTCCCTACCGCAGAATGTGAGATTCTGGATGAAAATGTGAGGTCCCCATGTCAGATAAGGCTATTGTTGATTTAACAAGTTAAGATGAGAGCCTACACAGGTATAGTGGGGCTTGATCCCATGACTGGAGTCTATAAAACGGGGAATTTTGACACAGAGGCATTCCCAGGATGGTGCCTCCCCAAACTGGGAGACACTAAACTTCTTTAAGTCACTGAGTGTGTGGCATGTTATTGCAGAAGCCCTAGAAAAAGATGCTATTTTTTCTCTTTAAAAAATTCACTTTTAAACTTTTTTCTTTCTCCTCAATTACTTTCACAATTTGTGAAAGCAACGCTGTCTGAACACAGGTTCCTAAACCTGACATATTTCCTTTATTAGCTTTTCAAACAGCCTGTCAGCTTGGGGCCTCCTCAAGTTACTCCTTCACTATCACGTTTGTTTCCCCTTTACTCTCCAGCTCTCAGGTCTGACACCAGGAGACACCATGAAGACAGTGTGGCTCCAGCAGGAGATGGCACTGCCATCGCACAAACTAAGGTTCATCTCTTCCCTACGACTCGGGGGGAGTGGAGGGCCCCCCTTGGGTTTGTCTCTTGGTGCCCCAGGGCCCCCCTTGGGTTTGTCTCTCGGCTCCTCCTGGGGAGATAGAAGCTTCACTCACTGATTTTCCACGTCCTGGATGGTGTCAGGCAAAGGCTGGTTCTTGGTTTCAGGCAGGAGGAGGACAAGGAGACCGGCTGGGATGGGGAAGACGCCATAGATGATCCAGGGCAGAGTGGGGTGAAACACAACCAGCAGCATGAGCAGGGGCGCCAGGGTCGCCCCACACCTTGTAGCCAAGGTGTCTATCGCTGAATATCTTGCCCTGGAAGGTAAACCACAGTCTCTCAAAGCCTACACAACATGCATAGATTTGTGGGCTTTTCTTTTTTTTTTTACTTGATGTTGTGAAAGACAATAGAAAACACTTGTTAAACATACGGGGTTGATGACTTGTTTTGAAATTTAATCAGTAAATTGTCTGTTTGTTTTTGATGTTGGAAGTACGCCAAAAGTTTTTCCATTCTTTTAAACAGAATGTGGGGCCCTCCCTGGTGGCACAACGGGTTAAACCACAGCACTATGAAACTATCCAAGGCACTGAAGTACCAGTTCCATTCCCGGTCAGGGAGGTGACCCACATGGTTTGGCAGACCTGTCCACGGCTCCCCTCAGCAGTGTACTTCAGCCTGCCTGTTGTGTTCCCCACTCTGTCTCTGGTGTATCTTCTCACTCCCTGCACCTCTAGCCTGTACCCCAGATCTTGTATGCATAAGTAAATAAATCTTTAAACAAATAAAATAAATAAACAGAATGTGGTACATCTCCCCACCAGACAGCCATTTGGTGAGACTTTGGAGATAGGGCATTGACGCTTGTTGAAAGTCAGTTGTCTGTAATAAACTTAGGTTGTGGGCCCTCCCTGGTGGCGCAGTGGGTTAAAGCACAGCACTGAGAAGCTAAAGCCACTTCCGCATGAGTTCGATTCCCGCCTGCCCCGGAGGTG